CGATGTGCTCACTAGAGCATGTATCCTTGGTCTCCGTCACGAACGACGAGATAGCTATAGAGAATTACTGAATATCAACGGGTTTTCTTCTGTTTTATGTGAAACCTTTAAGGCGGTTACTTGAATGCATGTGTTTGTATTTTCTATTTGTATAACTTTCGCCAACTGACATATGCTCACATTTCAATTAAAAATTGTACACTGGTCGTCACTCCGGCGAACATATAGAAGTATGAACAAATTCAGTGAAGCGTTGTGTAAAAAAATAAATGTCTCTAAAGTTTGACTCATTCAATTAAAGATTGACGTAATTCATTTATAATTCGTTCCTTGTTGGTCAAGATGCGAGCCGGATACGGACAGTGGAGATTTTATAAATGTTTATTCCAGGAGACAGATACCGATAAGAGGAACGAGTGATTGAGTGGGAGCGATAAGAATATAAGTCAAAATGCCAAGGATGGGTGGGGTCTTTGAGAATCCTATTGGCGAAGGTCATAAAAGATTTCATATGACCAATAATAAGTTTTGTGATGAATGGCCCAGCAGAAATTAAAGATGCACGGCTTATTGGCATTAATCCACGACAGGTAGTTTTAAATTCCTGTTTCAATAGACCGGAAAACACTAAAGAGGAGCAGTAAAGTAAAAGAGGGAGAACGCAATGTTTAACAAAGTAGAGTTTCAGTTTTCAGTTTGTACAACCATTCACCACGCATATTCATGTGCCGGTTTTGGTTGCTGTCTTTTGGCTGTCCATCTGGATGAAGAATAGGAGAAGAAAGGAAAATTGAGAGTGGAGTCGAACAGAAAGTGTAGAAGTTAAGTTGTCTAAAGTAGTAAAGAAATTGAAAAGATGTACGAACACCGCTGTTTGTGACACCTAGCCATATCACATAAAAAAGCAGAACAGAACTTGTTGGGGAATGCAAAATTATCTGAGCTTTCGGAACCGAAAGTAGAGGCGCCAAAGTTTTACCATACAGTTCTGAAAGTGTGTCGACCACCGAAAATTATTGTCGATAGTAACACCCAAAGCTTTGGCTGGGATCACTCTAGGCAAAAAGTTACTATTAAGGGTTACAGAGTCTGACGGGAATGTAGAGCTAAGGGAGGAACTAAAAATGCACTACAAGCACTTGAATGCCTTAAGATTAAGGCCAAACGGGACAGATTTTCAGTGAAGGAAGAAAATTCCGAAGAAGCCAAGAGGTTTTCCTCTTAGCGTCCACTTATAATTGAGATCACATTGGATACCTCAACGGTATTTTTGGCGTGCGGAAATCTACTCGTGGGGTTTCTGCGTTGATAAGTCGTTAGTTTACTTTGAGACAAGGTGGCGTTGGAATTTGTGTGGCAATTCAGTGAACCATGCGTGCAACCCAATCGTTCAGACAGACATCCTAAGCAAACGGATCTCCCAGCACCAGGACATATTGCTCTCGGCTTGTGCAGGAGTGTAACCTTCTCGGAAGAATCTTTTTTCACCCTTGGCCAGCTTGCTCACTGGATCTCATTCCGGTTGAGACTGAAGAAAGAAAACGATGATGGACAAAGCTAATCCAAACATCAAGATCCCAGGAGAGTATTTGATGAAGGAATAAAACGCGGTATCAAAGCAACACATCCAGAAAGCCATCCCTGGTACGGTTGTGCAAACTTCTAGATTCATGGGTATGATTGATCCACTTCATCATGAAATGGTTTGGAGACAGAACTGTACAATAACGAATGCTTGTTCTTCTCGTGCTTCATTCATATACATATGCCGATTTCTACAAATTATTCATATTATGAGTGTCTTCCAGTCTTTCAGTAACAGTTCTCCACAATCATTCGTTTTCATTTTGACATGATGGTGTTGTGATGTTGTCATCTGCATTCCCCTCCACTTTTTCGACCCCCCCCCACCCCGCCGTCGGATGTAAGGATTTGATGGCATGAATAGGCCTGATTTATCATACTATTCTTGAGCAATTACCCAGGATGCTATTGATTGGCAAAATTAGTTGCTCTCTTTTACAACAATCACTTTCACCAGATGTGGTTAACCTTTTGAAGCCAATCGCGTGATCTGCTCAATTTTGCATGTTTATCGAATTCATTTTCCAACATGGTTAAGATAACTATCGCATCAAAGGAATATACCACCGATTAGTGCCGCACTGGTTGCATCTCTGTGTTTCCGAATGTCTGTCTCTGAAAGCACACTACTCATAGTAGGAACGTCACCACGAACGGGGTTTCCAGGGACCGCTGAAAGTCGTTGCTCATCAAAATATTCTTGTTTGACTATTGGTGCTGTCGCCCATGTTTATGTTTTGGATAACGGCCCTTGAGCTGTAAGCCTAGTCGGATAGTGGGATCTTGATACGGTAGGAATGTGGTGGAATACATCAATATTTCAAAGACATAATTTTTCAAATGATTGTTTGGCAAATTGAAGTCTTATGTTAAAATTTTGAAAAGTTCAGTAGCCTTGTTGGGATTCTAACCGACGCATGGATGCCGCCTACCTTTCTGTACAGCGCACGCCCTACCAGCTGAGCTACGACAAGGCCACACCGACAGCACGCTGACCTTTTCACATTCGAATCACCTATCCAACTTACAGAGGTATATGGTATCCACCAGTTAGCATGTAAGCTGACTGCTACGACAAACTTGGGAACATTGATCTCGTTTTTGAAAACCCATATCGGTAGTCGCAAATTTTTTTCTCAGTCTGATTATCTGTGCTCTGGATGCCTCAGTTCCAAATAATTCCTTTCGATGAGTTGCGTGCTTTGTGGTTTGTTTAGGAGTTGAGGTCAAGTTAGATGACAACGTGATATGGATAGTACCGGTTTCAAGCAATGTGGCGAATGTGATCTAGGGAGAAAGAATGAAGGTTGTTACACACACACGCACTAAATTAGGGTTACATTAAGCGTGACACCATCAATACAAAGACAACAATATTTTTCAAATCTAGAATTGCGTCTTCAAACGAGGAATAGTTATCACTTCCAAAATACCCCTCAAATCCTTCCACTTCAAGGCCTCCTAATGTTTCTAAACATTTTGTGGTTGACCGGAATCTAACAAAATCCGGGCAATTGCACTATGGATGGTAGATTCACCTCGAGGAAGATCAAGGTGTTTCGGAATATGTTGACACGGACCGTTCTGTCTTTTCGATGTACCTCTGACCGAGTTGACTAGATACAGTTGGAGTTAACACAAACGTGTTCTCTGGATCCAGACTAGTGCGGGTTAAACAACAAAACGGTCCATGGAGAGACGCATTAGTCCTGTGGCGCTGTGCGTTCTCTCCACGACGACGGATCTTTGTTGTCGCCTCATCATCAATGTGGACGTCCTTCTTCTTATCTAATAAGAAAAAAAGCGTTTGGAGTTGACCAAATTGCTGTAATTATGAAAGAATGTGATAGAATAACTATTGTCCAGCAAAGAAGGATCAGTCGGTCTGCATAGTTCATCTGGCAGGCCGTTTGATGCCATATAGTAGGCGAGCCCCGTGAAATCGAGTGCGCACCTAATCCTAACCAACCGCAGGTTACGCAACTCACTTGGTCACCACCTTGACCTTCTATGACTCATTTCAATTTATTTAATGTTTCAACCAGGTTGACGGATTGAACAATCCGTGAGCGTGAGTCATTCAACCTGGTGTTCAATCCGGATGAGCAATACTGAAGTTAGGCGTGAAGTTTTAGGCAGTCACGGTCGCCCCTGGGGCAGGTGATTGACCTCCATAGATTACACTGGCTGGGACATGTGCTACGCAGGTTAACAGATAGGTTGCCAGGGCGAGTGCTCTTTGCCGAGGCAGGTACCGATTGGAAACAAATGAAGGGCGGTCAAGCTAAGACCTAGCATGAGGATATGAATACCCTGACCAGGAGACTAAGTCATATAGGCCCTGTTAGGCTTCCTGATTGGGGACCCCGGGATGATGGTCACCGATGGTTAGAGACACTGAGTGATGTGGCTGGGTATCGCAAACAGTGGCGCTCATGAGTCTATTCATTATTCTCGTAACTCCAATTTATATGCATTCGCTATCTTTCGTTTAAATTTACTCTCAGTATTCCAATCTTCGTTCTGCTCTTTAATCCAAATGGGGCAGCAAAACAGAGCAACTCAAACCGGCGCACGAAACTGCACAGTAATTGTTGTAAAAAATGAACTGAACTGATCTGAATCTGATATGTTATCTCAAGTGTGGTGAAGTAGAAATATCTGTCGCCAATTCACAGGGATTTATTATTATTATTATTATTANATAGCATCAATTCTCTGTGTTCATTTTCACTTGTTTTGCAAACAACTATAGATCACCAATTCATAAGAACGCACTGATTTGTCGAGCGGATGCCGAATAATCCGTTCACTACATTTGAATTACTGCTCCATGAGCAGTCCACATGCTAACGGTAAAATGCGTTCCACGATATCCGTGTGCAACGGATCTCAATATCTGCAGCGATGTTCGGAATCTGAGTGACAGTCAAACTCATGGTTGGTTATCCTTTTTTCCGGATCCACATGTCGCAGCAAATAAAATAGGTATCATCAATTCAGGACAATCCGGTAAAATTCATGTAACCTAATTTTCCATGTTTTCCAAAAAATGAACCCTGTGTGATCACAGGTATATCTAATGTACAGTTTCTGGTTCACGTTTCCAAATTTGTCGTCGCGCCCGTTCATTAGCAGTTAGTTCTGGCTTATAACGTGATGATTTCATCATCCGATTGTTGGGTTGCATCCGTGATTGTTAGTACAAGGAGTGTGACGAACATGTAGTTAATGCTTCATTGTTGAATTACGAAACTGACAATCAACCAATTGGAATGAAGTATAATTGGTCGCGTGACTGGATGTGTCTATATATCCACGGATGGCGGCTTACCTGAACTGTTGGCGTGTTAGTCGATAATACGAACCCGAGCTGTACACACAGTGACTGACCAAGGATTCGTGATTCTCAAACCATGGATGAATCTTTCGTAAATGTTGACCCCATGATGCAACCCCGGTAAGTTGACGTGTTTCTTAAATGTATTTTCCGATTTGCGATAACTGATACAAGTTCTGTTTTCTTTTAATGTTGGGCTTAGTTCAAGCAAATATAGTCATCCCAGCCTTCCCAGTCCTGAACTGTACGGTTGACAGCATACACATTTAACACGTGACTTGGGTTTAGCTCCACCCATCGGAACTCACTGTTTTCAGAGACTGTTTGCATATCAGTACTCTTATCATGATGTTGGCGAACTCTAATCGAATAATAATGCTAGTGTTTATTTTCAACCCTTAATTGGCAAGTATATGATGAGAGGTTTTTGTACATTAGGAAAATTCCTCCCGACTCATTCTGTTTGCAAATACGGCGGAATTAAATTGCGCGGTCCTGTTCTTATTCTTGGTCAATACAGCCCAGTGATGAAATAGTTTCTATCCGATAACACCAGTATAGCTAGCTATAGTGCTATCCCAACCACGTCTACAGCCACTCATTTGCGACTGCAAAAACTTTTCGATATTAAAGTACAAATATTCATTGATTTCTTCTCATACACAAAGTACGCCGTTCAAGTATAGAATGTCCGCAAAGGCTTGCAACAAAATTGGTAAAATGTCTGTATAAAAAGACACTCCAAAAGACTGCAAATATTGGGACTCTACTCATCTCGATACCACCGACTTCGGGGTACCTAATCTTGGCATATAGAATACTGCATCAATCACCTTTGCCGTTCTATGCTAAATTTATCGCAAAATGATCACTTCAGGGGATATCCACTAAAGTTAAAGACCCAGAACAGCCACGTTGATTGGAGGCATCACGCGTTTGCAGTCAAAGTGTGCGGTGTATGGAATTCCCTTCCATCCATTGAAATGTGTGTTTCTACAGTTGAACTATTTAAATCGCAACTGAATGAAGCATTGGAACACTTACAATTTGGACATCCGTGAATGATCATGCAAATTATTATTATTATTATTTTCTCTTTGGGAAGTTGTTCAAAATATTCTGTAAAAATCCTATGGGGCATGATAATTTTTAGCTTCATTTATAGTGTTCCCAATGCGAAATTCAATGCTATAATTGATTGATGCAGCTCATAGGTTTGAAGGTGCGGGTTTAAATTCCATTCAATTCGGTGTGTTGGAACAATCGACTTTGTTCGTACCGGATATTAAAAGCATTACAGAGTATGACGTAATGTTCCATTTAAACCACTTGCGAAACACACTGGATAAGAGTGCACTTTGCGTAACGCTTGAGCTCAAGATTTCCAACTACGGCTTTCTGCATGCCAACTCGATGGTCCAGCCTTTAATTTATGATGATATCTCTAAACTCTCTGTCCAAGCCTCCGTTTGATGCGGTTGGTTATTGAAAAATTTGACCAGATTCTCCCACTCTCGATATTAAAGTATATGCCTTTATGAATTATTTTTTTCCAGATTCACTGATAAATTAGGATACTCAGTGTACTCTAGCGACTCTGACACAGAAAGCATCGAAACGGACAGGTGCTCCTCCCCAGAAGTAGCGGCTGAATCGCAGACAATCAAGCACCAACAACCAACTACGGCCCCGCTCAAGAAAAACAGCACGCAGCAGCCGAAAAATATTTTTCTCGACAAAAGCAAACACATTCTAAC